TTCTCTCAACTTCTGTTTCTTTTACCTTTCACTACCTACTCCTAAGACTATCTAGAATGGACCCCTGCAAGCATAGTTTCCTCTCTCTATGAAGGGGAGATTTCATGTTGCCCCGTGCCCCTAATGGTTAGGGTATAGGGTTGGGGCCACCAGTGGGGGTCTGGCTAACACAAAGACCGAGGCCTGCCAGTAGTTGTGCCTCCCTTTCTCATCGTCCCCCACCCTTCATCGAGTAGCAGCAGAGGCTATGGCCAACACTCTCCCACACACCACACACAACCCACTCGCGCTCACACTCACACCCGTGTTGGTCATAGACCCCGCTAATACCGATCAGGGGTATCCAGAGGACTATCACAGTCCGTTGGCACTAAGTGTGCCGCAGGCGGCCATGGGGCTTGAACCCACAACCTCTTGAATGCCACTTGCATGCCTAACCAACTGAGCTATAGGTTCACGGCAGGTGAACTTTGAATTACAAAAAAAAAGAAAAAAAAAAAAACAGCAAGCACATAGCCCCCTCCTACACCCGGACCTGGCGAGCAGGTGAGGCCTGGGCCTGGACCTAACTCCCAAGCTGCAGGCCACTACAGGACCAGGTCAACATCAGGATAGAAAACATAAAAAAATTAATGTTGACCTGACCCTATACTGACGCTACACTGACGTTTTCCTGGAGCTATAGTGACGTTGACCTGAGGCTATACTGATGTATGGTCCCAGGTAAACGTCACTATAGCGCCAGACAAACCTCAGTATAACGTCAACATAGGGTCACGTCAACGTCACAAACAGACAGATTGATTGGTAGAGAGAGGCAGGCAGACAGGACCTGGGCCCCGACAACGTCTTAAACCAGGGCCTGGACCTGGGCCCCAGCAACGTCTTAAACCTGGGCCTGGACCCCGGCAACGTCTTAAACCTGGGCCTGGACCCAACACCCACGCTCCATACGTACTCTGGGCCAAGGTAAACTTGAGAACAGGGCCAGGTCAACACTGATGTCACCATCGGTTCCGGCCCGGGCCCAGGATCAAGTCAACGTTCGTACAGCCTAAGCCCCGGGCCAGGTCAACGTTTACTACTATATAAAATGTTGACCAAGTTGAGCATGGAGCATGCGAAAGTGCAATTCGTGCACTCTACCGCTCCATAGCCTCTCCATCACTCTGCCACTCTCTGTGTATTTCCTACACTTTTCTATCTCTCTCTGTCTCTCTCTGTCTCTCTCTGTCTCTCTCTCTCTCTCTCTCTCTCTCTCTCTCACACACACACACACACACACACACACACACACACACACACACTCACAAAAACACACTCACTCCACTCCTTAAGTCAGTAATCGGCTGCAGTGAACTGGCAGTAGCCTATAGTTTCCACCGTGTGTTGTACTCGCCAGGGCAGAGAGGGAAGCGGGGAATGACAGTGTCCCGCAGAAAGGATCAGTCCACACAGCACGCCGTGGCGGCTCAGGTCTGTTCACTTTGTTGGCATTAGTTTTACCTCTGATGGAAGGTCTCTTCTTGCCTTCCCCTCGCGCACTTTGAAGTACTCCCACTCCGATGCCTTTCTTTCTTTCACCTCTCCAATGGGTGCGACAAGCCCTGGTTTCCCATCGTCGACCACGTGATCGACCAACCCGTACTCCTTCGCCTCCCATGCCGTCATGAAATAATCCCGATCTGTGTCCTTCTCAATCTGGAGTTTAAAAAAGGGAGGTGAAAAACGAAAGACACAGATGCGTGACGAACAAACAAACTCAGCCAGGGATGTCAATCCACCAACTAAATTAATAAGCACAGCAACAACAAAAAAGACGCTCATAGGTTTCTCTCTTTCCTTTGATAGCAACACTTTCAGGGCATACTCACTACTCGCACCCTCTTTCCGGTTTCGGTACCTTTCTCTGAAGTTTTTTTTCGCAATTTTCACAACGCGGTACCCAGCACTTTCGATTTTGGGGAATGCGGGCTGCAGCCGCTGCACACATACATGGACTGTCCAAAGCCAGAAAGGACAGGACGGAACCGCAGCTGCGGGAGCTGTGGTCACTTCGACAGGTGTCAGTCTCACTGCCTTGAACAGCAAATGAGCGAGCAGTGAGCACCCACCCATTCCTTTCTTTCCTTTCTTTTTTTTTTCCCCCCGAACGGCAAATGGTGGCAGCAGATGCTGACGTCACAAGGTCTAGCAGTTCTATTTTCTTTTTCTCAACTGGAAAAATTGTACAAAAGCAAATAGGCAGAAGGCGGCCACAATCTGCCATACCCCACACAGCTCAGCAGGCCACGGACATTTGCAGGGGGGGGGGGGGGGGGGGGGGGGGGGGGGGGGGGGGGGGGGGGGGGGGGGGGGGGGGGAGAGGTCTGCTCTGGGCAGGAACAGAAAAGCCCCACTGACAAATAAAACTTCGCCGAGTTTCAACATTCCCAGGGCACCCCGGTTGAGCTGTACTCAGGAAGTTCAGAACAGGCTCAAACTCAGATTTAAAAAAAAAAACAGAGTGTATCGCTATCTGTCGACTGGCCAGCAGACCCCCGCGACCGGTCGGCCCTCCCAGCAGGGTGCAAAACAGTCGGCGGTCGGGGTTGGCCGTCGGCGGCTGGGATGCAACCCTGATCTTCAACAGCCAGATCTGTTAAACAACTTAAACTATCAAGATCAAGTCTTCTGCGGTTAATCCTATTCCAGGCAGTAGTAGTAAACAGCTGGCTTAGTGGCAGAAAGAACAAGGGATTCCAGCAGGAACAAGGTGAAAAGAAAGGAGCAGGCAGCTTGCTACAATGAGTGCAGAGCCTGCAGACATTGTAACGATGAGGTGGATGAACACGTGGAAGACCTAGCTGAGCTGAGCATTCGCAGTACAACAATTGCCAGGACAGCTGGCATTGAGCATGTCGACCATACGCACGCGACAAATGGCATGCCGATTGCAGGCCAACATGAAAGACGAAACGGGCACCACAAAAGACCATGAATTCAGTACTAAGTTACTATGAACGCCCATGGCGCAAAATGGACGTATAGTGTCCGGATGCGGAGGGCGCCTGCAGTCGGGAGCGGAGGGACATGTATGCAGAAACCATGTGATTGTAGAGATTGTGACACAGACAATGGCGGCTAGAACCGAGTGCAACAGTGTTTGTAGTGGTGCAAAGGAGAAGATTGAAGAGTGTTGGTACATTGTCCTGCTGCAGCACAGGGGCAGAGGAATGATCTTCCGCATGAAACAGATTGCGGACGGTCTGGTGTGGCAGGAAAACAGCAGCATTATGTAAAACAATAAGTAACATCAGTCGCGGCGTGGACGATGATGCTGTTGCCCCACAGTTCCCAGCGATCAAAGGCCTGTACAATGGCCATGTACTGGCCAGGTCCGTGGACAATGCAGGCAGAGATGTGGGATGGAGGAGGATTAAACCAGTCGTCTGGTTGAGCATTGCATAGCTCAAGTTGGTGGTCCCTCGTCGCTACTTGTAGGACAGCAATAGTAAAGCCTCTTTCCCTGGTATAAGTACAATACTCTGGCTGTCGGCGCAGAAGAACAGCATCAAGCTGAAGGGCGATTGCAAGGAAGTCTGACGGTGTATAAAACGGGCAGTGGAGAATGTGAAAGACACATATTAGTTGCAGTCAGACCACAGAGATCGGTTGGGATCTTAGGCCAGTGTGCCGGATGCTGGCCAACTATTTACAGATCAGTGATCACCGACACGCGCGACTGGAGAGAGAGAGAGAGAGACGTGTGGGTACACGAAAAGTATCCGCGGTGGGAAGTGCTCGCTCGGGTGGCAAGGGAGCTTCACTCACCTCCTGGAGACCCCAACGGGTAATGGCAATCTTGATGAGCCTCGGTAGGTGGTCACAGACATGGTATTGCAAACCCAAAATGTCTTCGGCTGTTTGCTGGTCAGTCATTTGCAGATCACCCATGTGGTCTGCACGTGGTGGGGGAAAAAATTGTGGTTCATCCAAATGATGCTCGTCAGCCATTTGCACATCCCCCACGTGGTCTACGCGTTGTGGGGTTAACTGCAATCCGGGCAAATCATGTTCCAAAGACTCGGCATTTAGGGCTGCATCCTGAGTGGGGACTGCCCCTGGAATCAGGTGTGTACCCTGGGCGGGGACCGCACCCTGTTGTACAGGTGCCTCGTGGTTATCTAACACTGAAGGACATAAAACATGGTCCCGTGGCTGCCTGCCGGCGGCTGGACTCTCCAAGAGGCATAGGAGCGGATATTGGCACTTGGCATAGAGAGAATCAGGCCAGACAAAGAAACAGGTTGCTGATCCCCGGACAAGCGGCGATGCGGGAGTATGTGTACGTGTGTATGGGGCGCGTACAGGAATATGTGTATGCGTGTAAGCACAACCCGCGTACACGTACGCCGTGCTACCCAGGGTGGAACAATGGGAACAATGGGAACAATGGGAACCGGAGAGTCTGTTCGCAAGCGAGACCGTCGAAGAGATGAGGGTGACAAGGAGCGCAGCCATCAGCGGCCAAAACAGAAAGAGATGAGAGGGGGGTGGACTGGGCAAGATTTTGAAATAAACGACGTGAGTGTCAAAGAGACTGTGACGTTCCTTGCACCGGACCTGCAGCAGAGGAAACTGTAGCAGCAAAACCTACAGAAGGAGGAATTCCAGCCATGGAAACTGCTGTGCAGAAAACTGCAGCCAAGGAAGCTGTCATAGGAACTACAGCAATGAAAAATGCAGTAGTAGAGGTTGCAGCATTGGAAACTACAGCAGTAGAAACTGTAGCAGTGGAAACTACAGCAGTGGAAACTGCAGCAGCAACACATGAGCAAGCAAGGGCAGGATGAGAGCGTAATGAGGGCAAAAAAAGAAAGTGGATGATACAGGGACCATCGCAGCATGCGTCAGAACCATTGAGGGGACGTGCCACATGCGTAGGATAGCGGCGTTGGCGGAAGTGCATGTAGCAGGTTCACCCCTTAGCAAGGGTCAGTGGGGAATGCCCAGGAGAAAGCATGCTACGAGTTGTTGCCGCAGTTCGAGAGTCCCGCCAATCTTTGCAGATTTGTTCAAATCTGGTCAATTCCCCAGTGAAAACACCGGCCGGTTGATGGGAATGGATGTTGGAGGTCTCACTTGGATAACGAATGACAGGGGAGTCCCAAGCAGCCACTTTTTCAAAGGCACTCATCCGAAGCGGGCCATCAGAATGGACCCATAGATGCATACCTAAAAAGGTACACGAATCATTTGTCGCTGTAGTTTCTTCCACTCAAGTCCATAGTGCTCTGGTGGAGGAGGTAATTGCCCCCATAAAAGAACATCACCATCAACGAGGCGATACGTGAAAGCATATGCTGACGAATGTCATCAGCAAAGGGCACTTCATCCCAACATAGCATAATATTAGAAAGTTATGGGACCGCGTTTGTTACCATCCGAATACCGATAATTTGTTTCTGAAGTGTGCCATCTCGGGCGCACAGCAAAGTTTTCTGTATAACAAGCGAAGACGTTGGCAAATTTGAGAAACACAAAGGAGTGTTTGGGCCTGAATCGATTGTCCATTGGCCACAATGAGATCTTCGAATTACCACATGCAGGGCATTGCAGCGTGAACGCGTGCCAGTATGCCGAAGGGCGCGTAAGCACAGGCTTCATCAACAGATTTTGCCACATTATTCAGAATGCGGTCATGGCGAAGGTTGGTATACATTGTGGTGAAAGCAATAGTGCAAGGAGGCCACAAAGAGACAATGCATTGTTTTTCAGGTTAAGCGCTACTTCATCGGCACTCTGAACGATCCAGCACCATCGAACACCAAACCTGTTAATAATAGAGCTCAGTGTCTTTCTCGCGAAGAGAAGAGATCACTCCTTGCAAAGCAGCGCTGAGATATGAGGAAGTAGTCGTTGTACTAGCCAATCGTTTGTGAGGAGATCGTTCATGAACGGTGTGAATGGTTGGACGAGGGTGAGCGTGCAGGGAAACAGCAATGTTATATTCTGTGTTGCGGCTCCAAGAACGCTGCAAGGCGCTGGAGGAGAATTATAAGCTTTGAGCACATAGGTAAGTTAGGGTATCAGTGTGGGTGTAACCCTAATGGTGATTCCATATTGCATGGCTGTCAAGGACATCAGCAACGGATTCATGACGGTGAGTATAAGTGGGACTGTCCAAATGGGTAAAGAGATGAAACACATACCAATTCTTGCAACAGATTGTCCGCTTGTGTGATGTTTGTTCCACACGGACAATGGCAACGTGTTGTTGAAGATGATGCAAAAGGAGGCATGTATAGAACGAAGTGAACGTGGCTGGCTCACGCGATTGGAGGATGAAGATCCATTGGATTGACAATGCGTGAGGATTGCAGAATGCCAGCTGTTCAACTTTTGAGAAAGAGACGAGAAAAAAAAGTAGATCGCATATGTCTGCCAACAACTTTTTGTAATTGTCAATGTACTCATAAAGTCCGGTTGCAAGTGCTTCTTCGGAGAACATCAGCAGTTTCCCCATTCAAGCGATACGTTTTTGAAAAAGCTTGCGAAGGCTATCATCAGAGACGATGTCGTAGTCAACGGACACAGGATGGGCACATCCTTAGCAGTGGTGATGGTCACATCCTTAGCAGTGGTGATCCTCTAAGCTAACTCATCCTTTCAATGCATTTGCTCAGTGTTGTGTCGACACATCATCTGCATCCGCGTCTGCGTTTGCAGATATGTACAAGTCCAGTCGTAGGCTCCGTCTTAAACCACCAGTATGTTTCCCATCCATGTGGCGAGAACGGGGTCGCCGTGCACAGGCCCCATCTGGCAGGAAGTACTGGCCTGCCGCTTCACAAAAGACACATCCAGGCAAATCGCATCACGTGCACAGCTCGTTTTGCCTGGATGTATTTTATGCCTGGTCGCAGGCCAGTACATCCCGCCAGATGCAGCAAGTGCACGACGTGCGTTCTTGCAAATGGCTGGGAAATGTACTGGTGGTTTACATTAAAAAACGTAATGAATACTGTCTCCAATGCAGACATGACAGCAGACATTCGAGAACTCAAATACCTCATCATCCGAAAACCCCAGCATACCGGCCAGTGTCACACAGCTCAACCTCATGACCCATTTACTGACCAGCGACTGCATCAAGGTCGTACATGCGCGTGGGGTAGTTTGTGCTACGAACTTGCGACATGGGTTACCATTGCCAGAAGCAGTTGCACCCCAACCCTCAAGCAGCCACAAATGTTTGTGTATGCGACAAATTGACATCACCCACATGCGTCCAGTTTCGTAACTTCACTGAAGTGGCCTCGAGTGTTACTCCTGTCTCTTATACACATCTAGATGTGTATAAGAGACAGAAAAAACGTAATGAATACTGTCTCCAATGCAGACATGACAGCAGACATTCGAGAACTCAAATACCTCATCATCCGAAAACCCCAGCATACCGGCCAGTGTCACACAGCTCAACCTCATGACCCATTTACTGACCAGCGACTGCATCAAGGTCGTACATGCGCGTGGGGTAGTTTGTGCTACGAACTTGCGACATGGGTTACCATTGCCAGAAGCAGTTGCATTGCACCCCAACCCTCAAGCAGCCACAAATGTTTGTGTATGCGACAAATTGACATCACCCACATGCGTCCAGTTTCGTAACTTCACTGAAGTGGCCTCGAGTGTTCCCTGCAATCCTAGCAGACTGCTGTTCCGCACCTCTGACAAAAATGGCAGTAAAGCTCGCGAACGATCATACCGAACTCCTTTCAGAATTCACAAACGAGTGCACGGTTGGCCACTGTGTGCCGCGTGCTTCACGCCTTTGAAATCATGTCCGGCAACAAGTGCCCAAACACCTGACTGTACAGTGTACATGTGTCATAGATGCTCACCCGCTTGTCTGTGTTCTGTGTGTGTGCATACAACAACACACCTCTGTGTGTGTGTTTTCTCATGTCGGCTACACACAGCTCCGCAAAGAGAGCACGACTGCGCTGTGTCTGTTGTCATGTAAGCTGTACACAGCTCCACGAAAAAAAGGCATGACTATGCCAGACTGCTTCTTGGGACTTTCACCGACTGTGTATGCAACAGAGGAGAGAGGTGGGGGGAGGGAGGAAGGGATTGGGGGGAGGTGGAATCTATAATAGGTTACCTGCTCTTCTGTTTTGCCGGTGAGGTAAGCCATGATTCTATTCAATTTCAACTTGTGGTAGATCATTTCTCTCACTTGTAGTGCCACATCAATTGCCTGAAGCCGCCAAACAGGAGACAACACAGCACAGTCACAGCAGATCCATAGCAACGCGCACACAGAGGTACACATACGTCTTATAGTACACATACCACAATGCACTCCCATGCTTGTAGATATACTACACAGCACAGTAAGAGTGGATAAACCCCAATCATTCACCAAAGACGACTTTTGCCCTAGGTTTGCTTTCTCCCGGCTTGCAAAACATGCGCAGAGCAGCTGTGTCAGAAGGTAGGAGGAGCAAGTTCATACAACAACCAGAGGGATTCTTCTGAGTACTGAACATATATCCCATGGGAAAATGGCCATTGCTGGCAAATTTACCCTGAGGTCAGTGCAAAGAACAGATGGCCTCCAAGTCGAAATTTCAATAGCAATTCGCATGAGAAGCGCTCGAATATCTTTTGTGCAGACTGACATCAGCAGAATGGAGATCTTGCATTGCTGACAGCTTTCCCTTCTGGATGAGGCCACAGCAAAACACAGGCGGCTTGAAGTAGATCCAGTGATATACTGGAAATCTTCTTGCAATGATCCAAGAGGACTCTGTGAAGCCTGTCGAGGATACACGTGTGAATCACAGGCAGGCAGGCAGGCAGGCAGGCAGGCAGGCAGGCAGACGGGCAGGCAGGCAGGCAGACGGGTAGGCAGGCAGACAGGCATACGGGTAGGCAGGCAGACGGGCAGACGGACGGATTGAGGTACACACACAGAAGGATGTAAGGACAGACGGACAAACAGATGGACCCAGAGATTGACGGACCAACGGACCGATGAAAAGACAGACGGGCAGATGGATGGATTGATGTACACACAGAAGAATGGAAGGACAGACGGACAAACAGATGGACCGATGGACGACGGACTGACTGACTGACCCAGGGATCGACGGACCAACGGACCTATGAAAAGACAGACGGGCAGATCGGTGGAAGAATGGGGGCCAGACGGATGGCAGATAGACAGACAAACGAGCAGACAGACAATTATGGAGCCGAATGATGCAATGTTTATCTTGACAAACTTGTACACTGCGTAGATGAGGCTGTGAACTGTGGAGAGAATACAGTTCTTTAAGCTCAGAGACAGAGAGAGAGAGAGAGAGAGAGGGCGGGGGGGACGGGGTGGACAGGCAGGAGGGATTCCAAAAGGGGAGGACACACGCAGTTTCACAGTGCACCTACCTTTGACTATCGCATCTCACCCAGGTAAGGCATATGATACTCCTGACTCTCTCAACCACCAGTCTTACATTACATAGGCAGTCCACCAACCAAACCCTAAACCACCACATCACTCTCAAGCCAAACACTTCAACAGCAGACAGACGAGAGGCACTTTCAGCAACCACAATCACAAGCACCACGTCATGACTGTTCCTCCTCGTTCTATCAAACAATATCATCCGAAGAGAACAGTTGCATGGCCACAAGAAGTAATGAGTAATGTATTAAGAGTCCTGAAGCACAACACACACACACACACACACACACACACACACACACACACATACGGCACATATGTTTGTTTCGTCAGTCTAAGAAACAGTCACGAGCAACCATGCAATGGACAGAAAGCTTGAAACTTTTGAAAAAGAAAAAAGGAAAAGAAGGCAGATTGACTGGTCAAAGACCGAGCATACCGCGCCTTGTGCCCCTCCAAGAGGCTGATGGATCATTATCCTTGCATTTGGCATTGCGTATCGTTTGCCCTTCGTACCAGCACAAAGCAGAAACGCACCCATAGATGCTGCCAGGCCGAAACAGACTGTAGAAACATCTGCCCTGCACAGCCTCATAGCATCATAGATCGCCATACCTGTGTGAGAGAGAGAGAGAGAGCACAATTTCTAAACTCAGTCCGGCAAGCCTCGAAACGGATTCTCTCTCCCTCCCCAATCGGGCAAAACTGGAGCAGGAAAAACTTATCCAAACGGGGAAGAGCAGCCAGAGGTAACGAGAGGGTGAAGGCGTGAGAGAGGGCGTAGGGGAGGGCGTGCGGAAGAGAGAGGGAAGAGGGGGGC